AATAGCCTTAACAGCCGGCCAGATATCATATCTACGATCCGGCATCTTGGGCAGATGTTGGAAGGGGCCATCTTCTGCTGTTGACAGTTGCAGGCTTGGCTTCGGAAGCCACGAACAATACAAAGAACATCTGGGAATAATCTCCATGTCCTAGCAGGCTCGGTCTAGATAGAATGCGTAACTGCGTAACGGAGCGACATTTGGCGAGGGAAGCAGAAGGTAGGGCGAGCTCTCCGAACAGTGAGCACGCTATCAAGTTTTCAGGGCACGGAAAGAGGTCTGCTGCTCTCAAGGATGAACAAGACTTCTCCGGCGCGGTCATATGCACTCGATCTCTGTTCGGCTGGTGATCCTTTCCTTGTATCGTGAAAATGCAGGCTTGGAGACATGTCTTGTGATCTGCAGAGCTGTGGTGAGTATCGCGTTGGGTCCGAACTGTCGACTTTTTTCTGAAGCGCGGGAACAGTAGGCAGCCATGCAAAGAGCAACATAAAGTCATGCGGCTGTACGAGACTTGTGCAAACATGTGCCAACAAGTGGCTTCAGCTTGCATTCATTCGTGTCCACCTTCCCGACTGGGCTCCCGACTCCACTTCTCGCAGAGCCTCTGCATTGAAATTTGCGGCTGGTCTTACAACATGCCTCTGGGATCCTCTGGGGCATGTCTGGTAGCATGAAACTCAACTGCCTCGGCGAGTTGTCTTCGAAGTTGTGCATTTTCACGCGAAAGCTGGACCTCATGAACCATGGAGGAAAATCCAGACTCACTTCACGTGTCAACCGCTCGGAAATGATGGACCTCTGCGTCGCAAGACGGACAAACGCGCGCGGCCCCGCGCGCGCATGCGCACGCACGCACCCACTCACACAGACAGAGAGACAGACAGAGACAGAGACACAAACACAGAAACAGAAACTAACTCACACACTCAGGACTGGCTAAGCAAGCATCCAGCACCACACTCGATCCTATACTTGCGCTTTTATTTTAGCACTGAGGGCACGCAGTGCTGTGCTGCTTCGCTTTTCAAATTTTCTACTGCGATTCTTTGGCCGAGTCGGGCTGGGATCCAAGCATTCTCTTCCTGCAGTCGCTTTTCTCGAAGCTCTGGTCCTCCCACAAACGCCCAACGAGTAGGCATCATCTTTGGTGGAATTGGAATTTGCAGCTACCCGGACTGTCGGAGTCGTGACTTACGGGGCAAAGTTGCACAGCATGACGCTTCATCCGAGCACAGGCCTGATTGGTCAGGCCCTCCGGGTGTAGGAGGCTCCGCAAGCATGCGCTCGTAGTGCCTTGCCCACTGATTCTCAGCAAGCCAGCAAATTACAAAAAAGAGACTCGTCAAAGGCCCCTACGCAGTGCGGGCCAAGTCGATGATTTCCGCCTGATTTGGTGTTGCCATCCAATCGGAAACTGCAATTGACATGTAGTTGGTGGCATGCAGGATTTTTTCTCGAGGCCTATCTTTGGCAATCTGAGACAACTTTCGCATCAGGAGCAATGCAGCTGTGGGAGTTCTGCCTTCAGCAGATCTGTGACCAACTTTTCCCAAGAAGAGCAGTGCCTGGGTCCGATGCTGCAGTTTCAACTTGGTCCCATGGTACTGTAAGTATGCGGTATTCGCTAACAAAATCTCGTCAATGCACAGTCCGGACTTGAGGATGTGTGTAGGATACGCCGAAGCTGATGGATGTTGTCATGGTTTCATGCTTGGCGGGCTCATACAAGTAGTACGCATTTTTAGACGTCGCGTGAAAGACGCCATGTGTCGGTGCAACTGTCCGCCTGGCGGACAGTTGCCGGGGATTTTCGGACACTTCTCGGGACGTGCTTCCTTGCAGTCACACGGTGGGTTCCGTGAACGACAGGACAAGGGACTTGGGCTGCGGCATGGTGGGAATGCCAGTCCGGACAGCTTGACAACGGCTCGTGAAGAGAATAGTGAGCCCGCCAAGCCCGTCACGTGTACATCGAAACAAACGCACGCGTGTCAACATGGTTATGACCGGGGCCTGAATTGAATGAGGCCCGTCACAAAGTATCTCCACAGCACAACACTCTGGACTTTTCGTCTTCATGCCCGCTGCGTGCTTTGCACAGATTCGGCATTGCGCTGTGCCGTTCGAAGTCGCTTCACCTCATCTCTCAGGCTGTAGGGACGCGTGCCAGCATGCCATCAAGAGTCACTACAAAGCAAGCACATCCAGCACGCAAAGAGTGTGTCGCTATACCACACAGCAATGACTGCAGCACCTGCGGCAGAACTTCCCTCTCAAACTTTTCCTCGGTCTCCTTGGGACGGAGTGGTGCCCATCACTGTCGCGGACTGTAGTTAGACTCCGTCTCCACACAAGCTTGTGCGAAGCTTCAAGCAGAATTATAATTACACGAATCTGGGACTCACAGCAGCCAATTCTATCTGCGCACCCTGCTCTTCATCCTAGGCTCAACCAGCACTCTTTCCACAATGTTGTCCAAGTCCGCCAGGTCTTCACGCAGATCTGGGAGCAAGCAACCAAAGTGTTGGAACACGCTAGGAACCTAATCTTCCTTTGTGTCGTCTGCCAGTCGCAACTTTCCTTCCAGGTGCGCGGTACCCTGTCGCCTGCAGCACAAGCAGCCATCACCTCCTGGAGTTGACCAGTTACCTCAACGAGCCGACAGCAATTCCAAGTTGGAGAGGAGCACGCCCATGAAATCGTTCTAAAGTTGCTAAACGACTCGATCCAAGCTGTGTAAAGCAAGGTTCTGGCTCGGCTGCTGGAGGAGCCCGGGCTGAGAAGCGCCGTATGCTGATTGGAATTCTCTTCCTGCATGGCCCGAAGGCAACCTGAGTTGGTCGCAGCTTTACGGGTGATTGGCTGCCGCACATCCTTATCATGGTTAGTGCTACGATGCTATGCTCGCCCAGCGTCCGCAACCTGCTGAAACATGTCTTTCTCTTTGGGGCCCCGCTGGATGATGCAGCCTCGTGCAAGCTACAATGACAACAGAAACATGTTGGAGGGCTGGGTGGCGGGTTGGTTGGCATGAAGTTGTTTTGTGCAAAGCTGACTCACTACGCTCGGGCTTCACTTCTTACTGACAGATGCGGAAACACTTGGTTTGTGTGCGCAGTTGTGCGTCCGCGGGTTCTGCCTGCAAATGCTGTATCTGGCCCAGACAAAGCATCTGAAGCCGTCTTCAGCGCCTCGATCGATCTGGGAGTCCGATTGACACTTTCACAGAGTACACATTTTCCTACTACATTAGGTGTCGTCTGCAAGTCCAGTTAAAATGCCATGTAACCATGCGCAATCTTTGGACTCTTGAACGCTCACATGATACCGCCTGGTGAAGCCTGGCTTCCTCCGGCGTCAGGGTGGAAGCTGTGCTGCTTGGACCGCGCATGTTGCACCATCCCAGCAGCCTCGAGGTACAATCGCGTCCAGATGTGGTGGTCCTAGTCCTAGACTCGCTGTTGGATAACTCATCAGAAACAGCAACAGCAGGAGGAGCGATGCACGGCTCGATAGTAGTTCTGTGAAAAGATATCAAACGATTCGTCTAATGTGATGTGTCAACTTTGGGCATACGTGCCACCCAAGACAAGAAACCTAAATCCGTGTCGCATCTGCTCTGCGACCAGCTCTTGCGCACGCTCGGAGAGGACGGCAGTAGCCTCACTGAAGAAGACTGCCACGAATCTTGTACCGGCATCTGCCCACACCTTGTCGGTGCTGCTGCCAGACCCACCCACGAGCCGGAAGCTGCAAACATGCCCAGGGGCAGGCCTCGACAGAATTCGGGTCAGTCTGGTTGAAGCGACATACAAAACAGACCTACCTTACATTCCACGCATTGTGGTACAGCAGTCCAAAAGCATAACTTTCCAAGGAGCCCGAAGAACAGGCCTTCAAGATCCTGAGCCACGGAGCTGGATCCTACCAACCCGTGTTACCTGCCAACAGCGGATGCGCCCCAGTAACCAGTACAGTACATACCCAATCCAACCGCTACATGGACGGTCAGCCTACGGTAAGAGGCCAAGGATGAGCACATGGCCGTGCCTCCGACACGACCGCCGCTGTGCTCAGCATAAATCCCCAAGTGTGGGGCTCCAGACTGATCTCTGCAGCATCCGAAGCCATCGCAGCAGCACAACCGGCACAGCTTCAGCTTCCGCGTCAGTATGAGAGCACAGGCTTGTGCCTGTCTTGCCTGGCTTGCTTTCGGGCATTTTCCTTTCGGAGGATCCTGGGATCCATATGCTGAAGCCCAGTCTAAGGTGCACTTTGTCTGTCCGAGAAACAACGTTACACAGCTGATATGGCGCCGGACAACAGGCGTTTCCGGAAAGAGCATATATGAGACATGTGACTCCAGGTCTCTTGCTCGCCGCCTCCACCCTCGCAGCTCTCGCACACTGGCCTGCTGATAATGGCGAGTTGACGCACGTCCAGTACAGTACGAAGATGTACGCGGAGACTAGTGGAATCTTTCCTTGACTGTGCTGAAAAACTCGAGCTTGTGCGGCTGGCCACGCGACAGTGAGCCTCGAGTTGTCTGGGAGGCCGTCGGCTGCATCCTGTGTCGACGGCGATATGGGATGAAAAGCATGACAGCTACACGGAAACGTGGCTTTCCTCTGCGCTGCAAAGTAAGTGGTTACTGTAAGCAATCTCCCGAACTTGTGGCTTTCCTCGCTGCCATCGCTGTCAGCGTGACGTGAGCTTCCTCTGAAAGAACGGCATCCATCATCTTTTGACACTTACACGCAGCACGTCAAAGCATACGCTCTGGCATCGCAGGTCTGGCTTTATCTTGCAAAGCTTGAGGTATCAAACCCTCTCGGCCCTATCGAATCTGTCTCAAGAGTCGTGCGGTCCAGCATGGTCCAGCACAGGTCTAGATGTGCATATGACCTTTCAACACTTCCGCCATCGCATGACTTGGTTCGCGGCTCTGCCCAATGGGCTCAACCGGCCTAGGCTAAGGTGGTATGGTGCACTTCATCTTGGAGCAATGTCTTATCTCTACGCCCTCCGCATCCCTCCGCTCTGCCAGTCCAACGTTCACCTCCGATGCATCTTCTAACTTGTAGGAAGGTTCCGGTGCAGCACTGTGGCAGTGGCGGGCAACGGTTTGCGCTGACCTGGCCGCGCAATGACGCTGATCCGCTCGGCGGCAAGAATCAACCACTAACAGTCGCCAGAAGTGGGGCTACTGTTTCATGGCTGTAGCATGGCATGTGCTGAATAAGGTCGTTGCGCGAGCTCAAGCCCTCTGTTTGCTGAGGCAGAATCCGTTTGGGTGTCCCGCGCACGGACGAGCCGCCTCACGACAGGAAGCGCGTGAAGCTGCATGAGCAAAAGCAAATGATGGATAGTGCTTCGAAATTCAACCTGGAGAACGACAATTGTCCCTGCTGTAAGCAGGACTTGTAGTACTGGTACCAATACCGGTACTCGTACAAGTAGTAGTAGTAGTAGTAG